TCCTCGTTCTAGAACAGGTTTGAATAGCCCCCTGATTGGAAAAGGAAGAGAAATGAACACCCTCCAGTGCCTGCATTTCCAAACTCAGCGAGAGCTCGTATCCAGTTATACATTGTTCAAGCTTTAGAAATGCTCTTTGTTTCTGATTCAAGTAGCAGTACTATTACGATGTTGATTGTAATGATATTCCAGCATTTATCAACAGCACACCGCTTTCTCAAATACAGCTTTAGCGAGTGAGTGGAAGAAAATGCTGTCCTTAGGGAATGTGTTCTAACTTTGGTCTTTTTAAGGTTCAATTATTACAAATAGCTAGTCTCTTTTTGGTCTTTATTGCCTAAAGAGGTAAAACTGCATTCGTCTTTAAAACATAGATGTAAATCATTCTGGCAAAATTGGGACTTCGGTCTATCTGTGGGCCATCCTCAGTGATTGTATATTTGATTATTTCCATCCAGAATGGCTCTCACAATTCTTCAGGGACTAACACATAGCCCTGCTCTGTAAATGGAGCCTCTGTCTCACAACCAGCCTTTCCTATCTGGCAAAGGAGAGGAACAAGAAAAGGTCTCTGCTCAGCGCCCGGTACAAAATCATGTGTGGGCTGGAGGAAGCTGGTGACCACGAACTATCTGTCTCTGGCATTGCCCACCAATTCATGGAAATGGACACCCATAATATAGCTCAGTGTATCAGGCACGTGGCCTCAAAGCCACCCACAGAAATATTTGTGCCTTGGGAAAACTCTCCCTAAGAGAATGGGGAAGCCATTTGTGTTCTTCTCCATCACCTTTTAATGCCAGTGTTTGACATTATGTTTCTGATCACTCTCTCAGAGTGATTAGGTGCCTTGTGTCTGTGAGATTTCCAAATCCAGGACTCCTGTGAGGGAAGGAGATTGAAGGAGGAGACCAGGGAGGAGGGCGATGGGCAGATAGGAAATTCAGTCGTGTAGAAAGGCTTGGGATTCAGTGACTCATCCATGACAGGGATTTCTCATCTGTTTCCAGGACTCATTTGATCCTAGGAGATGAAGAGACAGAGGTTCCCATTTATTGTTTCGAGACATCTAAGTGGGAACTCAGAGGGCCTTTCAATATCTGTGCTTTATTCTTTCAAGATTGGTCAGTGGCACCTGGAACCACCATTGGTACTGACAATAAAATGAGGAACAAAACATCCACAATCTGTAAAATGATGCATTTTACAGTCTAGAATGCAAGAGAAGTGTCAATTAAATAGCCACACAAAGGGAAAATGACTATGGTGCTAAATCTATGAATATTAATGCATATTATAAGCTGTGAGCGTTTACAATAAGGAGGTGCAGCCTAGGAAAACTGTTGAAAGAGTGTCTCCCTAGAGATGGTGGTAGCTAAACTGAGATTTGGAGCAAGGCCAAAAAAAGAGACTTGTGTTGACACAGAGAATACAGCACGGAGTGGAAAGGCCTTTGGTGGGAGGAGCATGACGCATGAGGAATGGCCTGAACTGAGGCAGCTGTGGTTGAAGTGGAGGTGAGGGTGCAGAGGAAGGGAGAGGACAGCTGGGAGCAGACATCACGTGGAGGAGGCTGAGGACTGACACGAGCATGGTGTGGGGAAGATGGAGTTGTGAAGGCCGACAGGGAAAAGAACATAGACGTGTACTGTCAGTGCTGTCTGCAAATATACAATTTCAAATGAACTTTCCTTTCTGAGAGCAACTGAGGAAGAGGATTCTGAGGCCAGAGCTGTAGGAGGGGCCTGGAAGAGAGGCTGCATCTGCTCATGTCACAGTGATGTGCATTGCCTCACCCAGGTGAGACTGGCCTGGGTGAGAAGCTCAGTACAGAGCAGGGTTTCCCGTGCACAGAGTTGCTCCGAAATCAGAGGGCCCCAGCCTCGGCAGTGCTGGAGAGATGCCCATGGGACAATATCTTCCACTGCCTGGATCATGGTCTCGTGAAGACAAGGCCTCCTGTATCTTCCACTGAGCTCTGTGTGCAGAGGAAGGTAGCTGTGGCGTGACTGCTGGTGCAAGAGGGCACAGAGGTCTGAGAGAGGCTTCTGACACCAAGGTCATATATTTGGCTTTGAGAGAAAGGCACAGACCCTCTCTATAGTGCGTGCTGGGATGGATCAGCTGTACACCAGTTTTGGAGCCTATTAACATCTACACACGTAGTCATGGATGGCAGTCTCAGGCATCTCCGTGCCACTTCATGTCTTGCCTTTGTT